AATACATTTGATTATATAGTAAACCTAACCCTAAGACTAAAAAGGAAACACTGCCATATATATACACCTATACAATCTCTCAAAAAAGGAAACACTGCCATATATATAAACCTAACTTAATATTCTAGGTGTTGTAGCAAAAAACACTGAGAGTTTGCTAAGAAGAAACTGAAACCGAGTAATAGTGTGAGTCTTAGTAAAAAAGTCAGGAAGTTACAAAGCCGAAGAGACGAAAGGAAGCAAGATAAAGTCAAACTGCAGATGCTGACATACAAAGTGACAATCAATCTCGATGTGCTTTGTTCACTCACGGAAGATAGTGTTATGGGCAATATGAATAACACTACGGTTATCACAATAAAGGGAGGTTGGAGAAGACTGAGGGACGCCCAAGTCAAAGAGAAGACAACAAAGACAGACAACTTCAGCAGTCGTGTGAGCCATAGCACAGTACTCAGCTTCGGCAGTAGCATGAGCAACAACAGTTTGTTTCTTACTTTTTCAAGAAATCAAGGAATCGCCAAGAAAGATACAAAAACCAGAAGTGGACTTACGATCTATAACATCACCAACCCAATCAGCATCGGCATAGGGGACTAAAGCCAAGGAAGAAGCAGAGGACAACTTAATGAAATTTGTTTATGTTTGTTTCGGTTTGAACAGTTTTATTTTAAGAAAATTTTTGTTTATGTTTGTTTGAAATTGATGAACACATATGAAATTTTTGTTTTTTTTATTCTTTGTATTTCACATGGATGACTACTTATTTATTATTTATATATCTGTAGTGTAATGTAATAGGACTTTATCATTGTGAGTTCCATTGAATGGTAGTGTTAATGACACATTTCCAATACAAAATGCAGAAGATGGATCTGGGTATTTTACAATCAAAATGCACCATGGAGGTATGGTGAGGTATATTCCACAGAGGGTTTACAGTGGTGGTATGGTAAGTCATTTTGACTTTTGTCATTCAGATCAAATTTCCATTACAGAGTTGTGTTGCATGGCTAAGGAATTAGGAAAGTAATAACTATTACAATAAGGTTAGTGGTTATGATGGGATGGAGTTACTAAAATTTGATGCTGATGTATTGATGTTGGACACATATGTGGATGAAAACAGAGTAATAGATGTTTATATAGGACCACAATTGGATGATTATGTAAGTACACAAAGTAGTCAAGTAGGCTCAAGTGTAGAAACAAGTAAGGGTAAAGCGGTAATGCTTGATGTTGAATTGAAGGAAGATGAAGATAGTGATGCCAATGATCTTGACCAGTCAGACTCATCCTCTGATGAGTCTGAAAAATATAATGACAGTGACTATGAGCAAGGTGATGATGATGCTTTATATGATAAACATTTTGACAAAGATGTGGAATTTGGTGGTTTAGGAAGTAATAAGGATGCTATGGGTGATGTGGCTGACAATGATGACCTACAAAGCATGGACAACTCATCTGATGAGCTAAGAAGCCTTCATAGCTCCTCTGATGAAGATAGTCATTGCACTAGGATTAAGTACCCTATTTTCAGTGAGAGGGACATGCATAATCCTACATTCCAACTTGGCATGGAGTTCAAAACAAATGTGTTGTTTAGAGATGCTGTGAAGGAGTATGCTATTAAATGGGGGCAAACTAATCACATTTACTAAGAGTGACAAACATAGGGTAAGGGCAGAGTGCAAACCTGATTGTCCTTGGGTTTGCTATGCTTCTTTTGTGAAGGGTGAAGGGGTGTTTAGGATCAAAACTTTTGTAGATGAACACACATGCAACAGAACATTTGATGTGCCACATGTGAGTAGTAGATGGATTGTCAATAGGTATTGGGAAAGGATTAGGTTAAACCCTACCTGGCCAATTAAGTCATTGGCAGACACCATTACAACAGAGCACAATGTCAAAGTTGACCTGCAGAAAGTGAGAAGGGCAAAAATTAAGGCTCTCACAATGATTGAGGGTATTGCAACTGAACAATTTGCAATGTTTTGGGGTAATGTAGAAGAGATTAGAAGTAGTAATCCAGGAACAACAATTTCCATGAAGGTGAAAGAAGTTCCAAAAGTTCATGAAGAGGATGAGCAAATGTCCAAGTTTAAGAGATTGTATTTGTGTTGGCGTCCATTGAAGAGTTTCCCAAATGCTTGTAGGCTAGTCATTGGAGTGAATGGTTGTCATTTGAAGGGGACACATGGTGGAGTGTTGTTGACTGTAGTGGGGATAGATGCAAATAATTGTATATTCCCATTGGCCTATGCCATTGTTGAGAAGGAGAAGAAGAAAACATGGTTGTGGTTTTTGAATTTGTTGGGGCAAGACTTGAATATTGTAAATTCTCATTGTTACATTTTCATGAGTGACAAACAGAAGGGCCTAATTGATGCAGTGGCTGAGCTCTTTCCAAATGCCTCACACAGGTTTTGTGTAAGGCATTTGTACAACAATTTCAAGGGTCAATTTAAGGGTAGGGTATTGAAGGATTTGTTATGGAAGGCAGCCAGGGCAACCACTGTTGGTGTATTCACTAAAGTTATGAAAGAAATGAAAGCAGTTAATGAAGAAGCATGCAATTGGTTGGCTGGAAGAGCACCAATCCATTGGAGTAGGAGTCACTTCTACAGTTTCCCCAAGTGTGACATTTTGTTGAATAATCTTTGTGAGTGTTTCAATGCAAGCATATTGCAGGCTAGGGATCAACCTGTGCTGTCCATGTTAGAGAAGATAAGAGTTTTGTTAATGGAAATAGTTCAAAAAAGAAATGAAGCAATGAAAAGGTACAACAAAAGTGATATATGTCCTAAGATTCAGAAGATTTTGGAAAAGGTAAAGGTGAGTGCAGCTAGATGGATTCCTAGATGGAATGGGAGTTCCCAATATGAAGTTGTTGGCCCATATGGTAAGCAATATAAGGTGGACTTCAAAGAATGGACTTGTGGATGTAGGAAATGGGATCTGTCAAGCCTTCCTTGTGTCCATCTTGTGGCTGCTGCGAACTATATGGGTGAAGAACCAGAAAAGTATGTGCACCATTACTATAAAGTTGAAACCTACCTGAGGATTTATGAGAACATGTTGACTCCAATCAATGGCAGACAAATGTGGCCAAGATGGGAGGCCAAGACTGAATAAGAGGACAGAAACAGATGTCCCAATTGATGCAACTAATTCAAGTAAGTTGGGAAGGAGGGGAACTCAGATGACATGCAAGAATTGTGACAAGTTGGGACACAACAAGAGGACATGCAAAGTCAAAGGCCAATTCACCTACCTGAAAGATCTTGTGAGTTCAAGTCAAGTAATTCATATTTTTTTATGCATTTTGTTAACTTACACATTGCTAACTTTTGTGTTTTAGTTTTTGCAGTCCCAGCATGAAGGAAGCCAATGTCAGGCCTAGACTGAAAGGAGCCAAACTGAAAGTCAAGTAAAAGGAAGTCTGGTTGGGAGTCAGATTACAAAAGCAACTCAAGTTAGGAAGAAGGAGATGGCTGTAAGTTTTGCAAAGGCCCTATTTGTTAATTTACAGATGTCTTCCTTGCATGTCCTAACAATGATGATGGCTATTGCAGGTAAAAAAGAGAAAGGTTATGAGAACAAGTGACTCAACTCCATTGCATGCAAGTCAGGATGTGCAAGGGTCTGCAGTAACTTCCAATACTAACATTACTGTGCAAGCTCAAATGAGATGGAGAGGAAGAGTGGTGTACAATGCTAGTGTTGTCAAATCTGTTATGGGTCAAACCAAGAATGCAACTGACACAAAGTAATGAATGTGAAGGACCACTGTTGTTGTTTTTTATTTAATAATGTTGGAGAAGGTTTTTTTGCTACTTTTGTTCATGGAATACAATGTAATGAATGTGAATGTTTTTGCTACTATTGTTCATATTCCATAACCTTCATAGTGGTAGGGGCTTTTTGTACATTTGAAAAGTTTTTGTATTGGCTGCCCCTTTCTTAGTATATGTTTTGCACAACATGAATGACAAGTGTGTCAATTGATCAACATTTGAATGATAATTTATTGTATTTTTGCTGCTGTTTCCAAGTTATGATGTTCATTGGTGATGTTCACAATTGTTGATATTCATTGTTCATTGAATTTGGAGTGACAATTATGGTCACAGATTGTGTACCTACTTCTGTATGTTTCCTTTGTCTATGTCAAAGTCACCAAACACAAAATAATCAAGACAACATTAATAAGTCACCAGGCACACAATTTTCATCTCAAAAACATATTTTCTATTAACAACACTTCACCCATTGCATATGATTCATAAACAGGATACAAACTCCATTCATTCTTACAGTACCATATAACTTCAAACTTTACAATACAAACCATATTTCTACAACCAACCATGACAAAACCAAGCAAATCCATAGTTTCCTTTCTCTTCCAGTCCTTCTCTTCAGTTGTGCTTCCATCTTATTCAACTTCTTCAACAGCCCAGGAATTATTTGCACTGTCCGATTGCACATGGGTGGGTCTATCCAGGTAAAGTGATTGCAACCACTGTTAGGGCAACTAAGAAATCTCCGCCCAGGATTTGTGTCGGTCCATGCTATGTGTATCAGCCTTCTTCCACAAACATTCCAAAACATCTCGTCTACACCACTTACGTTCCATCTACCTTGATTTCTTGAGCTTCGATTGTTCCCTCATTTCTTCTCTCCCACTGATTTCATTGATGCTCTGTTTTTTTCTTCTATTTTTGCAGTTGTCTCTGTTTTTATAGGTTAAAGGGAATACAAGGAAAGGTTAGGTTTTAAGGGGAAAGCCCTAATTTTCCCTCCATGTGAAAGTATAGGGGGCCACGTCACCCATTCCGTCCATTTCCTTGACAGAAATAGACAGCAGGGGCAAAATTGAAAGGAATTTACATAGTATAGGAGAACGTGTGAAAATAAGAGTAGTCTTGGGGGGTCTTTGAAAAACGTGACAAAGTATAGGGGTAGAAGCATATCTTTTTGATCGGGGTGAGTTGGGTGCACGAGTCATGAGTTTCCTAGTTTTTCCAAAAGATTAGGTAGCGACTTTGAGATCTGGTGATAGTTCATGTTAGAATTTACCATTCACACTCACCTACTACACTCCACTACTCCTCACCTACTACCCAAACCCTCTCCTATATAATGCCACTCTGATTTGTAATACAAAATATCAATCTTGTAATCTATGTATCAATATATCAATCAATAATACAATTCTCTTTATACATTGAATTTCAACATGGTATCAGAGCTATAGGTTAAGTCTTGGTGAGCTTCACCTTCCGGCGGGCGGCAACCTTGCCTTCACCGCCCGCCGGACCCTAACCTGTTACATAATCAAATCTCAAACAGACCTGATTTACACCTCACAAAACATCTCATTCCATTCATCTGTTTCGTACCCTGTTGGCCTTCTTCCTTACCTTGCCGATCGGCGCCACCGCGCTACTTGCCTTGCTGTCACCGCCGTTAGACTTTCCGGCGTTGGTTCTCTACTCGCCGCCGTTCATTATGGCTTGCTGAAGCCGCTCCTGCAGCGCCGCAGCCGTGGCCACTGCTCCCATCCAGTAGGTCTCCATTCCCCGAGAGAGAGAGAGAGACTCCTTCCGGGCTAGGTTTTTGGCCACCCAAAATGGTAGCTGACCGCGGCAAGAAATCGAAGGTCGCCGATAGAACTCAGGACGAACATTCCGATCACATTGACACTGACCTTGTCCTCTCGATCGAAAAGTTGCAGGAGGTCCAAGACGACCTCGACAAGTTTAATGAAGAAGCTAGCGAGAAAGTTTTGGAAGTAGAGCAGCAGTATAATGAGATCCGCAGGCCTGTCTATGTTAAACGGAATGAGATCATCAATTCTATTCCTGACTTTTGGTTGACCGCTTTCTTGAGTCATCCTGCACTTGGTGATCTTTTGAGCGAGGAAGACTCAAAGATTTTCAAGTACCTAGATTCTCTTGAGGAGAATAAAGAAGAAAAGAGCAAACAACACAGGGGGGACATAGCACACACTGTCACTCTCTCTCTCTAATAATCACCCCACATGCCTCAAGATATTTCACGTGGGTACTCCACCTCCATAGACACATCAAATATTTTATTCACACCCAAAATCATCATTTTCCACCGCCCCACTTTTTAAACATATTATTATTATTATTATTATTATT